TAAAAAAATAACTGATTAAAAAATAACAAAATACAATATTTATATAAAAAACTAATTATTTATATTTTTATATAATCCTATATTAAATAATGCTTCTTCTTCTGTGATCAAATCGGAATCATTATCACTATCATCGATTTGTAATTTTTCATCTCTGAAAAAAATATTATTTTCTATTATTGTACTATTTTGTTTAGTAATGTATGTCGAACTAAAACTATTTTTTTGAGCATCTTTTACAATGAAACCATCATCTATTGTATATAATGATTTAGTAAAGTTTGATTCTGAAGAAGAGTCTGGTGAATTTATAATAATATCATATGTATATTTTTTATTTTCAGTTTTATTCAGTTTAATCAAAGATTTCTTTTTAAAATATCGTTGTGTTAAACGATAATTTGGTTTAGATTTTGTTAAACCTCTAATGCTTTTTCGAATAAGTATTGTTTCATTATTTGTTGTAAATAAAACTATGTAAAAATTAAAACTTCCTCTTTTGCTTAATTGACATAAATTATTTTTTAATTTAGGCATTTTGCTCATGTAAATAAATTTTTATTCAGTGTCAAACTGAATAAATAAAATATATAATTTATAAAAAAAATAAATACAAAATATTAAAAAAAAAATTATTCATTATCTGACGTATAATACGAATCTAATTTATTTTCTAGCTCTTTGATGGATTTTTTTAAATTTTGTACAGCTATTGTAGCTCCAACTTGAGGACCCTTTAAAGTCTTTCCTTTAAAAGCTTTTCCTTTAAAATAAAAATGATGTTTTCTCTTTTTCGGCATTAAATTTTCAATATTATCAAGTTCATTAACACATGCTGTATAATATGTTAATAAATTTCTCATAAAATTTAATCTCTCTTCAGCTTCTGGAAGCGCTGTTTTATATGCATATCTATCAACTTCACTTGAAAGTTTAAAAGGTTTTATCTCAATATAAGCTTCGATTGCTTTATTATTATTTTTTTGTTTTTTATTTGTTTGTTCATTTTCTTCGATATTTTCAACAGGGATGGAATCCTTTCTCTTATTTTGAATAATGATTGAAGACATTTTGTTATTATACAAATAAAATTCTAGTTGGTCAACATATGACTAACTAGATTATAAATTTATTAATAATTTTAATAAAATATTAAATAAAAATAATAACAATAAAACAAATATATTTGTTATATCTAATATTAAAAGTTTTATGAAATATTTGTTTTAAAATAGTATTTGTAACGTTAGCTAAAGTTAAATTTGTTGTATTAATTATTGTAGAAACCTTTTTTGCTTCTTCAAGAAGTTTAAAGGAAGAGCTATCATGACTCAAAATATCTAAAAAAATATCATTTGTATTTGTTAAATTTAGTTGATATTGTCATCTTAAAACTCTAGTATCTAAATTTGCAGATAAAACAATTTTAATTTTAGCATCAGGTAGAATATTAAAAGTCACATCTCTACCAACGACAACAAATCCTTTTCCATTTGTTATTTGATGAATATGTTGATTAATCAACTGATACACATCTTGATTTTCTGATAGTTTTGAACCTTGTCTTCTAATTAAATAATAATCGTCAGTGTTAAGATTGTTAATTATTTTAGTAATATTATTAAAAGAATCATTGAGTTTTAAATTATTATTAAAAATTTCAAGTATATTATATATTGAGGAATTGTTTGATTGCTGATAACTTAAATATTCCAAATAACAATAAAAAATTCCAGTATCAATAAATTGATATTGAAGTTTTTCTGCTATAAATTTTCCAACAGTTGTTTTACCAGATGCTGTCAGACCATCAATTGCAATATTAATTTGTCATTTTGATGTTTAACTAAATTTCTAATCGGTATTCAACTAATTAGATTTCTTCTTCCTCTTCGATTATTAGATACAATGATTCATCAAATGGATGTATTCGTTGTTTAATTTCTTTAGTAATCGATAATAATTGTAAAACTTGATCTTTTAAAGTTATAGTTTTTTTTAAATCCGAATAATTATATTGGGTAGTTAATTTTAACAAATATCAATATTTATTTAAAAAATTTTGAAATGTTTTAAAACTTTTGATTTCAGTATTAGTATATTCTTGAGTAATAGTATTAAAATCAATACAAAATTGAATACAATTACACATTTTTAATGAAATTTAATAATTAATAAAAGATAAAATTTTAAATATAAATATTTAATTCGATATAAAAATAAATTATTCATTACTGTAATAAAATTCTATTCGGTCAATAAAGACTGAATAGAAGGAGATTGTGTTGATATTCGGGAGATTTTAATTTATATTCTTCAATTTGTGTTATATGATTACTAACTAAAATATCAACATCTTTAATAATTTTTTCTAATTTCTTCTTTTTACCTTTTCTGAAAATGTATTGTTTAAAATCTGTATCTTTAAAATTTTTTACCCAAAAAAAGATATTATAATCTAGTTTATATATTCGAAAATAATTTTTAAATCTCATTAAAGAGCCTTTTTGGTTAAGACAACCGAGTTTTTCTTCTTTCTGATATTTTTTTTCTGGATCAACAGTTTGAAGTACCTTAAAATAATTACATCTTTTAAAGAAAGGACAATTGTTATCATCATGACGATTATCATATTGCCATCGATGAGGATAAAATTCACGAATTTTTTTTCGACATTTGCATTGAAAATAATTAAAATATTTGATATATTGACTATGTTCTAACATATCGAATTTTTCTTTTTGTTTTTTTTTAGCGTATATAATAACATATGAACGATCAAAATCAATATTCCACCAAGGAATATTATTTTTTACGATAAAAGATTTATAAACAATTTTATATTTGATAGGAGAGAAATAAACAAAATGTGTTACAATATCTCTTGATATTTAGAAACAAAATATTTCAAAATGAAACTTTTGTTTCTATGACTAGCTTACTTAGAAAGTTTGTAGTCATTATTAAATCAAAGAATGATTCAATGCTGTTTTATGGTATTTTTTCTTGGTTTTTATAGATATTTTTTATTGTGGAAAAAAAATTCTAAGTGTTTTAATTCCTTAAATATTAATTATTTTTTCTATTTTTAGTTACGATATTTATATTAGTTACTTTATATCTTATTCAGACAGAAATTCTTTTTATATTGAGTACTTTATACTCTATTTGGGTTTCTACTCGGAAATTCTTTTTATGTTGGTTACTTTATACCCTATTTGAATTTCTACTTGGAAATTCTTTTTATGTTAAATATTTTATACCCTATTTGGATTTTTACTCAGTTTTTATGTTAAGTACTTTATTTCTTATTTAGATATCTTTTATTTAAAAAATATTTAAATACGTAATATTAAATTTATTTAATTTGTAAATTATTTACAAGATGAGAAATACCCACGAAATTTATAATTACTTTCACGCTAATTCCTTTAATACACGTATTATTTGTGATATTTGCGATGCAAATTATCCAATCGATACTAATTTAACAAACCTTAAAAATCATTTTTCTAAACATTATCGTCAAGAATATTATTTAGCGATGGAAAAACAAAAAGAAAGAAAAAAACAAATCAAAGAAATTAATCAAGAAAAAGAAAAAGAAAGAATTATTACAAAAAATATTAATAATCGTAATACTTTAATTACTCAAAATAATGAAACTTCAATTATTCAAGTTCCAAAATATGTTAGAGTTGAAGATTTTATTGAAGACGATTATATTATTGAAGAAGAAACTTAAGAAGTTATTTTAACTGAAGAGAATTCAAAATCTATTTGTCAAGATATTGATATTATTAAAAAAAGAAAAGTTAATAACAAAGAAAATAATAATAAAAAACAAAAAATTAATATAATTAGTTTAGATACTAAAGATAGTATTATCGATTTAAATATTCAAGATGAGATTAATTTACGTATTATTGGGAAATGTACTTTAAATTTTAATTAATATTTCTAATTTATTAATAAAGATATATTTATATTAAATATTTTTTGAAAATTTATAATCATTTGAGTATGTTTTCGGTAAAAGTTCGAGTACTTTGAATATTTTGAGTATGTTTTCGGTAAAAGTTTGAGTACTTTGGATTTCGTCCAATCATATAACTTCATTTTGAGTACCTTTTCGGTAAAAGTTCAAGTATTTTGAATTTTATCCAATTATATAACTTTATTTTGAGTATCTTTTCGGTAAAAGTTCGAGTACTTTGAATTTTATCCAATTATATAACTTTATTTTGAGTATCTTTTCAGTAAAAGTTCGAGTACTTTGAATTTCATCCAATCATATAACTTTATTTTGAGTATCTTTTCAGTAAAAGTTCAAGTATTTTGAATTTCATCCAATCATATAACTTTATTTTAAGTATCTTTTCGGTAAAAGTTCGAGTACTTTGAATTTCATCCAATCATATAACTTTATTTTGAGTATCTTTTCGGTAAAAGTTCGAGTACTTTAAATTTCGTCCAATTATTTAACTTTATTTTAAGTATCTTTTTGGTAAAAGTTCAAGTACTTTGGATATTTGAAAAAATACAAAATAATATAAAATTTATTATAATAAAATTAATATAATAAATAATCGTAATAATCTTCTAGATCCAAAATCGACCATATATATTTAATCTTATATAGTTTACAATATAAATTTAAGTTATCAAAATCAAAATATAATATATTACATTGTATATTATTATATAAATAATTATATATATGTGCTTCAAGAAATTTAATCTATTTTCTAAATGAAGATTATTAATCTAAATTGTTTAAAATTTGTAAAAAATAAAAATTTATTTTCTTCTTGAATGATTGGATTTTCTTCTTTAATTAATAGTAATAGAGATTCAAAAGAATTTTTAGTATCGTTGATCGAATAAGATGATTCAATATCAACTTTCCAATCTTCGATGAATTCTTTTTTCTTATCTTTTTTTTTAATATTCTTTAAAAAAAATTTAATTTTTAAAAAAAAAGCCATATTTTTACCGTAAAAAAATATAAACAAACATTACATTTTTATAAAAATATTTAATATTTGTTATTGGTTCCCATTATTTTAACATTTCAGATAATGTTTTCATTATCGCTTTGGTAAATAATTCTTTAAATTCTTTATTTGTTTCAACCAATTCCTTTTTTCTAGAATTAGACGTTTTTTTATTTTTTGATTTTAGTAGGGTTGTTTTCTTAGAAGATTTTTTATGTTTCTGATCAGGTTTTCTTTATTTTTAAAAATCCAAAAGTAGTTTCTATATACAAAAGTCAAAATTATACTAAGTAAATCGATAAAAGTTACTTAATAGGAGTTGTTCAGAATATAAAAATACACATATCCTAAAAGTTTCAAGAAATTGAAGAACTTTTTACTAAGATGTTTTTGCATTTTAAATTTGAACTTAAAATACAAAAACATCTTAGTAAAAAGTTCTCCAATTTGCTTGAAACTTTCAGGATATATGTAATTTTAATTTCTGAACAACTTCTATTATCGATTTACTTAGTAGAATTTTGACTTTTATATATAGAAACTACTTTTGAATTTTAAAAAATTATCTGGAATAGCTTATTTTCAGAATAAAAAAGTTTCTTATGTTCCTCTTTTAAGAAAAGAGGAGGTAGCTTATTTTTGGAGTAGCTTATTTTCAGGAATATATGGTACTAGAACTCCATACTATTTCAGACATCTTCTTATATTTTCTAATCTTGCTAATATAGATAGATCTCAAATAGTTAAGATTACCTCTTTGCTATTTATTTCTCTTTTGAAATTTGCTACTTCTTCTTTTGAAAGATTCTCCTGTTTTGCATTATTACTAGATGTCTATATGGACTTGTAAATATCTTCACTTTTATTTAATATGAGACTATTTTCTATTTTGTTCTCTTTCTCATTTAGTTTTTCTTTTTTCTTAACCATGCCTATCTATTCTTTAACTTCTTGTATTGTATGATCTTCTTGTCCAAACTCAGTATATACTAATGTTGCTTTCATTTCTGCGCCTTCAGTGTTATCGTTCTTCAGTATTTTAATTTCACTTTCATTAAGATTCATTTCAGCTAGTCTTGTTAATACTGCTTCTTCTTTTTTCTTAAAATTGGAGCTTCCTCATTATCTGCATATTCACGTTTTCTTTTTAAATTTTCTTTCCAGATGCTTGTTTCTTTTTTTTGCATATCAAGTTCCATCTTTGTTGAGATATATAGTATTTCTAATTTTTTTTGCTCACTCAGCTTGAATCATTCTTTCTTCATGCTTGTTGTAACCTCAACTACTTTGCCAATTAGCACCTGTTCTTCAAGCGACAGTTTTTTATCTTGGTCAAATTTATATAGAGCCCATTTATATGTTTCTAATACACTACGAATTGTTGTTATAAATTTTAGATTTTGATACCCAAAATACTTTGCTATATATTGATCTATATTTAATGTAAATTTGCTTTGCTCTGCATAAACTTCTTGATGCTTATTTTCTGTCACCAAGGCAAAATCTTTAATTAGCATTAAATCCATGTAATCACTACTTTATATATTATACTTATATTTGTATGATTTTCTTCCTGAAGTTTCTAGAATAAGTGTTTACTTTGTTATAGGTAAACACATGATAGTAAATGCATAGTTGTTTGTTTTGTTGCTTGATTTTCTAGCAATATTAGTTTGTTTGTTGTTTTTCTAATTTGTACGTAGAGATTAGGCCCGGATAAGGATTACCCGGGTAACCCGTATAAGCACTCTTATCTGGGCAGAAATTTTGTTAACTGGTTAACCCGGATAAGAAATTAAATTAGAAAATAAACAAAACAACCCGGTATATATACGATTCACGATGATTTGAATATTTTTAAGTCGTGAAATAACCCAATTCATTTGCATTATACTAGTATACTGTTATATTAGCCAGTTCTGACCTTTTACATAGCTCATTGCTGTAACTTTTTGTAATTGGGCTTAAATAAGAATTCTGAATTACTATTTGATTTTTAAAAATACAGTTATTTTCATAAATTTTGGGACAAACTAAAAATTTGCTTGTTTCCCGAAATCTCTTCGGTTTCGTCTTATAGATTATCTAACTCTTTGGAAAATACATTTTTATCTCAGGACTGAAGTTCTAAAGATGATGACATGATTCCAAAGAGCTAGGTGATTTTTAGAACGAAACCAAAAAGGTTTTGGGAAGCAAACAAACTTTTAGTTTGTTGCAAATTTTATAAAAACAACTGTAATAATAAGGAAAACAAAATTTTTTTAATATCTTAACCGGGTTAGCCGAGTTAACTGGATTATTCGAGTTAACTGGGTTGTTATTCGGTTAAGAATTTGTTATATGGGTGGGTTATCCGGAGTAAAAATTTTATGCAGGCTTAATCTCTATTTGTACGCATATGTTTTTTCCTGTATTGATCGATCTGCAGAACAGGATAAACACAAATTCCTCAAAATTCTAAAAATTTTTTTAAAAAATTTTAATTTTTCTAAATATTATAAGCCCTGGTTGTTAAAAAGCAAAACTATTCTAAATAACTATAGTTGATTTTCCTTGCTCTATCTTTTTCCTTAAGGCTCTTTGGTTGTTGATTTAGTTTTGTAGTGACTTTTTTTGTAGAGTTTCTTTAGCTCTGAATTTGAACAGAGTGATCGTTGGGAAGAGTTTTTTTGTAAGTTACATAATAATATTATAAGCCATTATAGTCTAATATATATTGATTTTAT